GGCACAACGGAAAGATAGCGGTGAGATCCATGGATCTATCCTAATTGATGGCCGGCCTCAAGGGGTTAGCTTCCAGCGAACCACAGGATATTGTGAGCAGATGGATGTCCACGAAGCAAGCGCGACAGTCCGGGAAGCATTACAATTCTCTGCTCTTCTCCGTCAGCCTGCGTCGGTTCCTCACGAAGAGAAGGTGGCGTATGTGGATCACATCATTGATCTACTGGAACTGAGCGACATCAGTGATGCTCTGATTGGCGGTACGTGGTCTTCCACAACGTTATGAATACCTTGTATCTTACTAACTCGAGTAGTCCCCGGAGCTGGTCTCAGCATTGAGCAGCGGAAGAGAGTCACACTAGGTGTTGAACTGGTGGCAAAGCCGAGTCTTCTATTCCTCGACGAGCCTACATCAGGTCTCGATGGTCAGTCCGCGTATAATATCGTTCGATTCCTGAGAAAACTAGTAGACGGTGGCCAAGCAGTCTTGGTAGGTCTTCCCACAGCGGTTATCTAAGCATAGGAGCTAATGAGCCATAGTGCACCATTCACCAACCCTCTGCTGTGTTGTTTGATGCATTCGATTCGTTGCTCCTCCTGGCGAGGGGTGGTAAAATGACGTACTTCGGCGAGAGTAAGTTCCCCTACTCTTTAATGGTACGGGATGACGGGTCTAATAGACTATAGCTGGCAAGGATTCCGTTAAGGTACTGGACTATTTCGCAAGGAACGGCGCTCCCTGCGAGGCCGATGTCAATCCAGCCGAACATATCGTCGAGGTTATTCAGGGCAACAGTGAGCAGAAGATTGACTGGGTTGAAGTGTGGAATCAATCTGAGGAGCGCCAGCGAGCCATGGCTGAATTGGAAACTTTGAACAACGACCTAAAGCAGAACACACAGGAGGAGGAAGACCAGTCTGACTTCGCAACTTCTCACTGGTTCCAATTCAAGATGGTCTTGCGTCGTCTCATGATCCAATTATGGCGGTCACCGGTAGGTTATTGCTCTTTGATCATTACGATGCAATGAAGACTGATCATTATTAAGGATTATATCTGGAGCAAGATTATTCTGCATGTCTTCGCAGCTCTGTTCAGCGGTTTTACCTTTTGGAAAATGGGTAACGGCACGTTTGACCTCCAACTTCGCCTTTTTGCTATCTTCAACTTTGTTTTCGTCGCCCCGGGATGCATCAACCAGATGCAACCATTCTTCTTGCACAACCGGGATATTTTCGAGACCCGCGAAAAGAAGGTTAGTCACTTCGCGTCAGTAGACTTACTTCTGGAGATATCGTTTACTAACAAAAGCCAGTCCAAAACATACCACTGGCTCGCCTTTATCGGCGCCCAAACCGTTTCGGAAATCCCGTATCTCATCATATGTGCGACTCTCTACTTCGCATGCTGGTACTTCACTGCAGGCTTCCCTGTCAAGGCCAGTATCTCTGGCCATGTATATTTACAAATGATCTGTTAGTCATACCGCCATTATATATGGGACATTCGAACTAACTTGTTACAGTTTATGAATTTCTCTACACATCGCTTGGTCAAGCCATTGCCGCATATGCACCAAACGACTACTTTGCCGCCATCATGAACCCTATCGTCCTCGGGGCTGGCCTGATCTCTTTCTGTGGTGTCGTTGTCCCCTATTCACAGATGCAGGCCTTCTGGCGCTACTGGATGTACTACCTGGACCCATTCACGTACCTAGTCGGGGGGCTTCTGGGTGAGGTCCTCTGGGACGTGAAGGTGGAGTGCAAAGCATCCGAGCTTGTGCATTTCAGCGCGCCATCCGGCCAGACGTGCGGCCAGTACATGGCCGACTTTCTTAGCGAGCAAGCAGGCTATCTTCTCGACCCGAACTCGACCTCTAGCTGCTCGTTCTGTCAGTACTCTACTGGAGCGGACTATGCCAAGACGTTCAACATGAAGGAGAAGTACTATTCTTGGAGAGATGTAAGTCGACTGTTCATTGGATTAACCATGATTCTATACTGACTTGAGTACAGACTGGTATTACTGCACTTTTCTGCATCACTTCTTATGGACTCGTGTTCTTGATGATGAAGTTGAGGAGTAAGAAGACCAAGAGTGCGAGGTCGGACTAGTTTATTCTGCCCTGCATGCAAGGTATTAGCGATAGATTTGCACATACTTCATTCGATTATAGATATAGCATATACATAGAGCGGCACATATAGATAGACATAGATATTACTAGACTAATACAGATTAAATTTTATTTTTAAGCCAATGAGAAGTAGAGCTCAACTGGTAGAACAGCCGTTCCTTCACGCCACTTGGTTACGCTTTATACAAATGTGTTTTGAATACAACAACATATGGCTGATCTGTGGGTTCTTTCATTAGTCGGTTTCGTGTTTCCTTTACTAGTTATGTAGAATAAATTGAGGATATCTGTGGTGAAATGGTATCATTGAGCCTTGTGTACATAATCACATATCATAAAGCCCTCAAGCAGCTCTTCCAGCCCTTCTAGACAGCTATCAAATATTACCTTGGCTTCGGGACTCGCTCCTGAGTCCTGATCGTTGCATAAGCGCGTCGGTTTGTGGGCTGACTAAAAACAATAGGTTATGTTAGAAGGAGTCTCTTACCACAAAGAAAGTCCTATTCAGCAAGCCTTCAGTGAACTGAACAGGATACATTCAGATATGCTCTCAGCAGCAGGAAGATTGCCCGTCTGCATTGAAAAACAAGCCAAATCAAGCTAGTTCTAATAATTTATCACGGCCATTATTCAGGAGAAGCTGCTTGAGCTAAGGCAGCTCGGTCCCTTACGAGGATTTCTCGTCCGAAGCCGAATAGACTTTTCTTGCTGCCACTGGGGTAATTTGCCGTTGGGGTCTATGGAGACCATGTGGCCCATTAGCCAAGGCGCTCAGGTTGACTATGCCAAGCACCGCGAGACAGCGATCTTCAATGGCTAGGTTTGATCAGTCGAGATTATCTTGACACAATATTTCAAACTTCGTATTCCTATAGATTTACGGTCTTATAACCTCACACGCTCTATTCGACAAGTATTCTTTGGACGACTAGTTGCCTGTGGTCCTCTTAGAACGGCAATTGTACAATGATAAAAGCAGACTCGTAATATAACTAGTTACAATAATGATACAGATACTCATTGGCCAAGGTGTTATTATGTATCGAAATGATTCCAGGGGCTGTGGTAAGACATCTGTCCAACAGATCTGCAAGAATCTATCCTGACCACTTACAAGGACTCTGGCTTCATTCACATCCAAGATACGCTGCAACATTCATGGGGAACGATGTGGGTCACGCATGGAGCTACAGTGCTTCTCTAAATCCAGACTCTAGTCTAGCTATCGGTCTTCGGCGTGTATTTAGGCGGGTGATTGGCGCTTTTAGTATTGACCTTGACCCGGACGGTAGCCGATCCGATGGTGACAAATCCACCCGAGAGGCGGCTATGAGCTATCTCTATTGTAGTACTGAATAGTGCTTATTAGTTAAAGTTGTATATCTGCAGCTGGGAGTGTCCATTTTACTCCACACAAGGGCTGGTAGTGTTGGACAAGCTGTTATTGTTCTATGGCAAGTGAATATATACATTCACTCTATGAACCCCTAGTAGTCATCTTCTATCCTCTTCGCCTCAGTAAGACACAGCTATCATTTACCTACCTCCCAGAATCGTGGCAAATGCTATGTTATACTGCGTCAATCACATGACAAGGCCTATCAGGTGATTTGCCTACCCTAGTCTGCAAGGGGGCATGCCACAAGAGGAGATGCATCTGGCCAACCGTCATACTTTGTACTCATCATATAAGGACGATGGATCTGCCGGGCTGCCCAAGTGTATATGCCGAAAGCATTGGGCCTGTACCAAGACTCTCGCTTATAATAGTACGAAAATTAGTTGGGTCGGTCAGAATGCGGGGAAGTTTTTGGGATCCGGGGAAAACCTCGCCAAGACTTTTTCTCACGATCAGCGTTTGAATTTTCTCTATCAACGACCCCATTCACTCCGATAACATCAAGCTGTATTCACTGACAACATGTCAATAGCTGCTGCTAGTAGTAGGGAACCCCATTCGTTTCTCTTTTGTCTATCTATCGTTACTCGATTGCTACTTCAGCTTTTCCTGCCCCTTGATACACCGCACCCAGCTGACTGGATATAGACAAGGTCTAATAAGTTCCCCGCATAAGTTCATTGGTTTGGACACATGGCATACTTCGACTATCCACGGTTGGCAACGCTCATGATTCGTATGCTGACGAATCTCCTGTCTCACAGCAGCTTCGCCTTCAGCGGAGCGCTTCTTGGCAACTTGGCTCACGAGGAGCTTTGACGTTAGCCTACCTGCGATAGGCCAAATCGTCCGGAGTCAAAATCAAACAGGGATATTCCGCCAACGGCCAAGAGCGCCACGAAAGTTTGGAAGCTCCGACAAAAGGGATTGTTGACCTGATTTGGTCCTCTTCCCAACATGCCGCGGCTCGCCTACGCGGCTTAACGAGTGAATGTAATTGCCATGCAGCTCGGCAATTCCATGAATGACATGGCACTGCATCTTCTCTCAATGGAGAGTTAATGGCCCTTCCGGTTTAACTACCGTGAAGATGAGCCAAGTCTTCGAAATGGACCAGTGAAGGTGCCGTGCTTCTGGGCCATCTGGTTGATGGCCTGAAATTCGAGGCTCCCAGGTCTCCAATGCCCAGACCCTGACGGCGAAAATCTGCTCAACCCCAGATTCTGCACCCTTGCAGTCATCCGAATCTCATTCCCGCACTGACTTTCGGCAAATCCGATCTGTCTCTTGCATCCGACCGTGATCGGGGGATTTACTTTGCACTTTGTGTATAAATCCACCCCACATCCCCCTTGCATGCCTACCTGGCCTGGAGCAGAGGCGGATGCATGGATAGCAAGATCGGCAACTATCCATCTAGTTCCCACGTCTTGAGTACTCTGTGAGACGATTAAACTAACATGGCGACCGAGAAGGCTGCCTTAGATGGTTTGGCAGATGAGAAGGGCGGGGATACCAAGGCTGGCAATATTATCGATGCGGCCGAACATGGCCAGGCTGCGACTGATCAGTATGGTCGCGTGCTGATTGAGTTCGATCGTGCTGCAGAACGTCGCCTACGACTAAAGATCGACCTGTGCATTGTCCCCACTGTGGCATTGCTCTATCTATTTTGTTTCATTGACCGCGCCAACATCGGTAGGTCACCTCCATTGCAGACAGACATGCGACGCAAAGCTACCTCATATTACATGCTACTAGTGTAACCGGGCACTAACTAGGACTATGATACAGGAAACGCCAAACTCGCCGGGTTCGAGACAGACCTGGGCCTCAAGGGCAACGATTACAACACCGTCTTGTCTATATTCTATATTTCATACATCATCTTCGAGATTCCATGCAATATCGCGTGCAAATGGATGGGCCCAGGCTGGTTCCTTCCGGCGACCACCGTATTATTTGGGGTGTGTTCCCTTGGAACAGCTTTCGTGCAAGATATCCACGCGGCATCAGGAGTCCGATTCCTTCTTGGGATATTTGAAGCAGGCATGTTACCTGGAATTGCCTACTATCTTTCGCGCTGGTATCGCCGCAGTGAGCTTGCATTCCGCTTAGCACTCTACATCGTCATGGCACCACTTGCTGGTGCTTTTGGTGGCCTGCTAGCGTCGGCAATCTTAACACTCGACCATTTCGGCAGCCTGCGCACCTGGCGCATGATCTTTGCGATCGAGGGCATCATCACGATCGGCCTCGGCCTCATAGCCTTTGTCACTCTAACGGACCGACCGGAGACGGCGCGGTGGTTGACCCAAGAGGAGAAGGACCTTGCCATTGCCCGACTGAAGGCGGAGCGTGTCTCGACCACGGAGGTGCTGGACAAGATGGATCGCAACAAAATGATGCTTGGCATCTTTAATCCAGTCACACTATCAACGTCGTTTATCTTTTTGCTCAATAACATCACCGTCCAGGGGTTGGCATTCTTCGCTCCGACCATTGTCCGGACCATTTATCCGAACGACAGCGTGGTTTCACAACAGTTGCACACTGTTCCCCCCTACGTGGTCGGCGCGTTCTTCACTGTTCTGTTCCCCTTCCTCAGCTGGCGCTGGGATAACCGCATGGTGTTTTTCGTCGTCGCACCACCCCTCATGGTCATCGGGTATATCATGTTTTTGGCCAGCACCGAGCCCATGGTGCGCTATGGTGCTACCTTCCTGATCGCATCCGGCGCGTTCGCATTTGGCGCCCTCTGCAATGCTCACGTTTCGAACAATGTCGTATCGGATACGGCGCGATCGTCGGCGATTGGAACGACCGTCATGTTCGGCAACTTGGGCGGACTGGTTTCCACCTGGTCATTTTTACCGTTTGATGCGCCAAATTATCATATTGGGAACGGTCTGAACCTGGCCACTTCATCGTTAATCATCATCCTGGGCGCCTGTCTTTGGATGTGGATGAGATGGGATAACAACAGGCGAGAGAAGGTGGACGTTGACGAAGCTCTGCGGGGCATGTCTCAGCAACAGATCCAGGATCTAGACTGGCGCAACCCGGCCTTCCGATGGCGGACGTAGAGCTGCGGACAGGGGGGGTTTGTTTTGGCTACTTCGCTTGTGCCTCATGCGGGAGTCGGATTCCATTTATGTCACGGTGCATGCATAGACCGGCCATGGCCTACATGATGTCAGGAGAGGGATGCATGGCATGTGTTTATTGATTCGTCTGTATATTTAATTCTAGAATCGTGGTCACCTTGAACTTGGAGCCTTGTTGCCGTCGATCACAGCTTTATCTGAAGCACACACGGGAAGCGTTTGCGCAGAAACTTTCCGAGTAAACGTAAGATCCTCCAATGAAACGCCGGGCAATACGTATGATCCTTGCAAACAGGTTAAAATAGCCATGGGTGCTAATGCGTGTTTACTACTCCTGGTAGTTGGACATCGGGGCGCGACAGGTCACGGCCTGGCCGAAGCCCTACTCGGAGACAAACCCATGCAGCGCCTCCCTACAAATGACAAATTTTTTTTTCACACTCTTTGACCTCCTATCAATTGCCTATCAGTGCCACGGCTTCCCCATCCCATATTCGGATCTCACCGATCCGTCGGGGTTTGCGTTCCTGTGGATTACCCAGTGTCTCCTTGGGCTAATTACCCGTAGGCTATTATGCCGTATTCGGCCATGTCGGTGGGAGTCCGGTCCAGAATGACTAGCACTGAGGCGACTGGGAAAAGGCTGGACAGACCGAGGAAGACTAGGCCGGACGATGAATCCTTCGCGGGGAGGGACCTGGGGGCGAACACCCATTTCTACTGCCTTCGCTTCCTGCTTTTTTTAATCCGGGTGGGGATGCGTTACTAATTTTTTCCCATTTATTTGCCGGATACGTTACATTTCTCATAATTAGCTTCTAAGTTAGGGTTCTCTGGGCCCACTTTCCCCGGAAAGAGCCAAAGACATCTTGGCCACCACATGTGGATCGACAGTGAGTCTGTGCTAGGGAGCCACTCCAGCCGTTCGCTTTATTAGCCCGGTCACCAGTCAGGAAGGTCGAACATGCTCCTCAAGATCTCCACCTGCTACGCTACATCCCGCATTCCTCGTGACGTCTGGGAGACTCGTGGTGTCCCTCCATTTTCCCCAGGTCTGCCAAGCGGTCCGGCCGGAGAATTTTCTCGCGTTTTGGCCCCGGTGACGCCAGATGGCTTTCGGACGTTGACCGAAATCGTCCCATATCCTCAGCATTTACCGACAATGCTCCTGCTCGATTAGACTAGATGTGATCCAGATCCGATGCCGGGGAAAGATCCAATTTTGTTTCCAGCCGTGGAACCACTGGGCCCATGTCATTAGTTGTTCATGGCAGGGATATGTACTCCGGAGTAGCAGAGTGCAGCGACTAGTACGAGGATGATGCATGAGACGGCTGGCCCCTGTTCAAATTGAGAACTTTTCTACGTTTTCTTTGTTTCGATCTTGGTTTCAATCCTTTTTTTTTTTTTTTTTTTTCGGGTGTTTTGTGGCTGAAGCAGGAGGCTGGTAGGCAATGAGAACAACGCCGAGCATGAGTTAAGAGCTAATAAGCTCTTCGCGAGCCTTCGGAACCTGACCGATGGGAGGCACACACCCAAGGCTGGCGCCCTACATGTACCCCGGCCTTAAGCACCCTTGGCGATATCCAGCTCTTGGCCAAACGCAGGCCCACCGGGCAGAGTTTCCTGTTGGGGGGAATACATCAAAATTGTTTGCTTTAGCTTTACGGTTCAGAGGGTATGAGAGTTGCTTTTGGGAAAATGGTCGGTTATTCCGATGAGTCTCCCCACGCTTTGTATCATTTCCCCCCCCCCCCTCCCCCCCCCCGCGCATTGTTAGATGTCACCACCATGTGGGAAGGAATCTCCAGTCAGTGGGATCGTCTGGGGGATATAAGAACCTGGTCACCCGGCCTCCCTGTCTGTGCTACCATTGCATTGTGACCCCTCTTCTCTTTATCACTTGCGTGCTTGATCTCTTTCCTTGACTCTTCCGTGAGGTCGGTACCGAAGTCAACGCAAGTCTTTCTCTTCCCACAATGGCGGGCGCAAAGAAACCCGTCAATATTTTTCAGCTCAAAAACCTGGGCGATCCCAAACAGGTCTACAACTGGAGACTATGGCTCGCTGTCATCTCTTTCGGGCTCATGGGCGCTGCTCGAGGTGTCGATGAGGGTTTGATCTCCGGCGCTTCAACTCGAAGGATTTCCAGAGAACCATCAACTACGATTCGTACAGTAAGGTCGAGCAGACCAACATCAAGGCCAATGTCTCTGCTATGGTCCAGATTGGCTCCGTCGGCGGTGCTCTCTTGTAAGGCTCACCATATCCGTGGCGATACCCAGCTTAGTACCTCAACAACTAACTCTTGGTTTCACAGTGCCTTCTTAGTTTGCGATCGCATCGGCCGTCTCTGGGCTACTCGTCAGCTCTGTGTCTTGTGGATCGTCGGTATTGCCATCTTTATGGGAGCTAACGGCAACCTGGGTGCTATCTATGCGGGTCGCTTCGTTGCTGGTTTGGGTGTCGGTCAGACCGTTGTAGTCGGCCCTGTGTATCTTGCGGAAATCGTAAGTGAAGCATATTATTCCATGAAAATATCGTCCACTCACAAACATAGGCCCCCGCATCGGTCCGTGGTCTCTGTACCTGTGTCTTCACTGGCTTTGTCTACCTCGGTATCGTCCTTGCCTACTTCACCAACTATGGCTGCCAGGTGAACCTCGGAGATAACACACACAAGCGCTGGGTTAGTACTTTAGATCCTTAACAGCGGTCGCTAGTTTCCCTAACTCGTCAATAGGAAGTGCCTACCAGTCTGCACATCATCTTCGCCGGACTCATCTTCCTCCTTTCCTTCACCCAGTATGAGTCCCCTCGCTATCTGGTCAAGAAAGGAAAGTATGAGGAGGCCCTGAGGAACTTGTCGCGTGTCAGACATCTCCCAGAGGACCACGAGTACGTTGTCGAGGAGATCACCGCCATCCGGAACTCGCACGAGGCTGAGATGGAAGCTACGATGGGATCCGGCCCTATGGGCGTGATCAAGGAGGCCTTCCTGGTTCCCAGCAACCTGTATCGTCTGTACCTCGCCCTGATGGCTCAGCTCTTGTCCCAATGGTCAGGTGCCGGTTCGATCACCCTGTATGCTCCCGACCTGTTCGCCTTGCTCGGCATCACCGGGTCCAACGAATCGCTCCTGATCACCGGTATCTTCGGTATCGTCAAGTTGGTTGCCGCCATCATTTGTGCCCTGTTCCTGGTCGACGTCATTGGCCGCAAGCGCTCGTTGCTTATCGGTATCACGTTCCAGGCGATCTCCATGATCTACGTGGCCGGTTTCCTCACCAGTGTCCCGGATATGGGCGTCGACGAGAACTTCGTGCTCCCGGCAAACAAGCTGGGCGCCAGCCGAGGCGCGATCGCGATGATCTACATCTCCGGATTCGGCTGGGCCCTCGGCTGGAATTCCATGCAGTATCTCCTCACCGCGGAGCTGTTCCCCCTGCGGATCCGTGCCCTCGCCACTTCCCTGGCCATGACCCTGCACTTTGTCAACCAGTACGGGAACTCGCGTGCGGTGCCTAACATGCTCCTCGGCACGGACCACGGCGGTATTTCCCCGATGGGTACCTTCTGGTTCTTCGCCGCGGTGACCATCATCGGTTGGTTTTGGGTCCTATTCACCGTCCCTGAGACGGCGGGCCGTAGTCTGGAGACCATCGACCGTCTGTTCGAGCTGCCCTGGTACAAGATTGGTCTGTACGGCGCTCGGGATGCCGAGCAGCGCGACATGGTGATGTCGGATAAGGCGCAGATTGCCGAGCAATCCAGCATGTCGAGAACGTGGGCGGCAGGGACAACACGACGAGGGTCTAGACGGGCTGTTTAAGATGATATTCCTTCATTATGTTGCATGTACATTGAGATGAGCTAACATCCGCGCAACGGATATAATTCCTGGAGTCAACGAACTTACGAAGCTTACTTACGAAGCTCAGAATACCATAAATTATAAGAACAAGAATTCATTCTTCATACCACCTATCATCATCACACATTACATATATAAGATGAGAAAATAACCACTAAAAACCAAGCTCATCTAGCCCAACTTCCCCGGCAAAGGAATAATCACAATTCTCGCCTTCCTCGCCGCATCCTCCCTCACCCTCTCCCCTTTCTCTCCCCTCCCCAACCCAAACGCACCCCGTCTCCGATCCATAACATCCATCATCTCCATCTCCTCCACCTCCTCGAACGGCAAATCAACCCTGATCAGCACCCCCCTCGGCTCAAAGACCTCCCCATTCCACCGCTCAATCACCGTCCTCAACTCCTGGCTCCCAATAATCATATTCTGCTCCTCCCGACTCCGCTGCGCCCGTCTGGCCACATAATACGCCGGTATCGCGCCCAGAACCCCGACCATGAGCCCGCCGATAGCCATGACGCCGAGTCCCTTCCCGATAGCTGTGGTCCATTGTTTGCGACTCATCCGTGCGGTGGTCATAACCTCCGATGTGAACTTCTCCCAGTCGGCGGGTGTGATGTCGTACTGGGCGAGGAGGGGCGGGTATGTGAAGCCCGAGGTCGGATAGGCGGATTTGGAGGGGATTTGCAATCCGCGAGTGAGGAGGGTCTCTGGGGCGAGGTTTTGGGGAGTTATTGTGGATGAGGTTTCGGAGGAGTTGGCGCTGGGGGTATAGGGTGGTGGGTCCATTTTCAGATCGGTTTGTTGGTTCATGGCAATGGAGTATACAGAAGTACTTATTACTCTTCTATGCAACATCCACACTGAATATAGAATGCAAAATGATTATCCAAGATTGAGACTACACAAAAACACCCTCCCACTCTCACCCAATTTATACCCATGAAGTCTCCCTAAAGCGAAATCAGTGTATCACAAAATGACGTGAATCATCCAGGCATCCACGAAAAAATCCCACGACATCCGTATTCCATTCCCCCAAATCCCAATCCTACGTCGTCACAACCCCAGCCCATCTTGTCTATACTACCCAATCTGTGCCCCCAAAAAGGCAATCATGAAGCTTAGTTGATCTTGACAGCGCGGCTGAGCCGCCCTGAACCCCCTGTTCCGCTCGTTCTAGAACGGCTATGACCTCATCAGGATCGACTAGGCAGTGGTTTTAATGGTGCTGTTTAATGGAGCGTTGCGGGTGAGTCAGGGATCTGCGAGACTTTTAATTTATTGGGCTATTGGGGCTTGGGGGTCTAGATTCTGGGAGTAGGGCCGAGGTACTAAGATGTTATCGGGGGTGACTCAGGCTGCAATATGTTACTTCGGGTGCGGTGATTGTTTAGAGGGCTTTGTTGGGTCATTGGACGCTTTGTGGCTGGCGGCTGTCGTTATTGGTTGATGAGGGAGAGGAACAGGGGTGCGTGTCTGATAAGCATCTCGTGATTCGGGAGATACGAGGTGATTAATAATGACGAAGATTTTCTCAGAGCTAACAAGGTCGGATGTGATGGAACAACATTCTATACTTATTGCTTAACATTCATGATTTGCCTTTTCGATGGTGAACAATTGCCAAGAGCATACCAGTGCCTTTTCCGGTAAGTACCCCTTAGTTTGAAATGAATTGTTCTTCTCTTGCTTGGGTCCTAGCAGTTATGCAAGGAGTTTGGACCTCTTCGCCTTGGCCTTGCGATATACGCCGGACTTCAATCCGACTAAAGGCTTTGTCGGATCTATCCGATCAAATAATCTTTACGCCTGAGCGACGACCGAGTTCGATGGCTTGGCTGAGATGGATAGTCACTAGCGAGCCACTATAATCAAGTGATGCTCCTAGCTTTGGCCAACGTCTTTCCGGCAATAAGCAATGGTCATGACTGAATATGCCGCTGGCCGGCCTACACAGCCCTATGGTCCAGACAACTCATAGAAGACCCCCAAGATCTGCAGCGGATGGCGATTGGATCCCGATAGACCATCAGTTCTGACCCCCTTGCATTACCGGGCATTTCTAGAGCGATGCGATAAGGCCCTAGTCTTTTATGATCCACGGTTGTATCTGGAGACAGTATTCAAGAATCACAAGCGGAAAAGTCTCCGAAAGGTTGTGGTTATATTCAAAAGGCCACGTACGGAGTACATAAATCACATCCGTGACCAGTCAGATGCATTCCATGCTGTTTGTGACATGGCCTCGTTGAGAATCGCTACCAGCTAGGAAGCCCAACATGTCATCATGGATTCCTGTCACACCGACAGTCCCAAAGAACAGAAAGAATGAAGGGAGAGTGACATTGAGGGGATTTGATTTGACAGATCTTATCTCCGCGTCACGACACAATCTGGCCACATGACCGCAACTATAAATACCGAAGCTAAACCAGATGTGGGGAAGAGCAAACAATCTCCCTTGACGTCTTGACCTTCTCCTCATCCTCTTATCACCAGACTCAACAGCTCCCCCGTTCAGTCGCTATTAGTCTTAGAACGCCTCATAATTATGACCACCCGATACCGCGTTGAATGTGAGTATCGGCTTGAACCCCATTGGAAACTGTGAACGCTTCGCTGACGAATCCTACTGATGCTCTCAAGGTATGACGCACACTGGCTCCGCGGTCCATGGTGCTAACTCGGCCAGTCGCACCGTCGCGACCAATTGATAGAATGGGTCAAAGGCCTTCTGGCTGTTCCCTTCGTCCTGCATTCACAACCTACTGCTGTCTACCAGGAGCACGGCGAGAACCTCATCGCCATTGCGGCCGATACCCATCAACGTTATGCGGAGATCTTCCGAGATGTTGAGAATCTCATGCGCGATCACAGTACTCCTCTACCCCCACTGACCGATTTCGCCCGTACTGACTCAGGATAATCTAGTCCACCACCAAGAAACGGGAGCGCCCGGTAAATCGAAACTAAATCTCCTAGTTCCAACCGTTGGCTCCTTCTTCACTCCCCTACCCCTCGAAGACGCCTTCAAGTTCCAGGACGGTCAGCGCTTCATCAGCCGGCGTCGCTTCGTTGCCCCGTCCTTCAACGACATCCGCCTCATCCTCAACTCGGCCCAGCTCCTGGGCCTCTTTCGCACCTCCGGCGTCGATCTGGTGACCTTCGACGGAGATGTCACCCTGTACGATGACGGCGCCTGCCTCACCGACGACAACCCCGTCATACCCCGCCTCATCCGTCTCCTCCGGCAAGGCCGCAAAATTGGCATCGTCACCGCCGCCGGCTACACTGAGGCACCCAAGTATTACGAACGTCTCAAGGGTCTCCTCGACGCCGTCCACAACTCGGACGTCCTCACTCCGGCCAACCGCGACGGTCTCGTAGTCATGGGCGGTGAAAGCAACTTCCTCTTCCGCTACGACCACACCTCCCCGGATAAGCTTGCCTACGTCCCCCGTGAACAGTGGTTGCTCGACGAGATGCACTCGTGGCAGGACTCGGACATTACGCAGCTTCTGGACATCGCTGAATCCTCACTACGCGCTTGCGCCAAGAATCTGAACCTCCCTGTCGCCGTGCTGAGAAAGGATCGTGCCGTGGGCGTTTATCCCCTCGATCGGACGAAGGTAACCCGAGAACAATGGGAGGAGACGGTCCTGGTGGTCCAAAACACTGTCGAGCGATCGGTTGTCGGCACTAGACTGCCCTTCTGCGCGTTCAACGGTATGCCCCCTATCTGCGCCTTACACCCCCAGGTGTACTGTTCATGGAATGCAGGCCTGGCTAACATGAATGGTAAAGGCGGAAATGACGTCTTCGTAGACATCGGCGATAAATCCTGGGGTGTGCGCGCCTGTCAGCAGTATTTTGGCGGCATCGACCGATCCCGTACTCTCCACATTGGCGACCAGTTCTTGTCGGCTGGCGCCAATGATTTCAAGGTTCGTTAACAAACACTGACAAACTGCAATGCATTGTACTCATGTGTGTATCTTAGGCACGCTTGGCTTCGACAACAGCCTGGATCGCTAATCCGGCTGAAACGGTGCAGCTTTTGGATGAGTTGGCGATTATTGAGAAATAGTCTGCTTTCATTCATTACATGTTACTTTGTTTGTTCTTCGATTCTTCTCTGATTTTCGATTCATAAGCATTACGACTTACTGGTGTTATTGTCGCTGTTTGTTGGTTTCAGATTCATTGAGCGAGTGTGGGTTTGTCTAGGGGTTTGCATGAAATGGTGAATATACATTACATGAATTACGCTATACGGGTTCCGCTACGATGTTTATTAATGCGTACAGGTATGAAGAGCGATTTGAATAAGGGAGATCATAATTTTCATTCAATAATTCCTGTCTGTCATGATACATACGTAGCAGCCATCACTGCATCTCAAGTTTCGTTTTGTTCTTTCTGGCCAGGTATGTAAAAGGGAAAACGACTAATCTTCCCACCGGCCACGGATTCTAACCACCCAACTCATTAACGCCTTTCACTGTGCAAGTCCTTTGTTCTTATTCCCACGTTTAACAGTTTTCGTAGCAAGACCAGCTCGACTTGCCCTCGCCGAAGCTGGCGCGACCGGCCAAAATGTTGACAGTGTCCTGCAAGCCGAGCCAGAATTCATCCTTGGGACGACGGCGGGCCCAGTCGGTCTCGGTCGCCTCCAGGCCGTTGGCGCCGCCCATCGGGGAGAAGAGCACCTGGGACCCCTTGACGCCGATGACGGTCGCAGAAAGCTCGTCGGCGGCAATCTCCTCGGCGGACTTGCCCGAGAAGCCTTCGATGTGCTGCATGCATCGGATGGCCATGCGCAGGGCGCGAATTCGGTCCATCGGAGAGGGCTTGCCACCCTGCTGGAAGTGGCCGGGGACTGCCGCACGCGACTCGAAGCGGCCCTTGGCTTCTTCCTTGATCATGTCGGCGATGACCTGTGTGGTGTAGGTGCTGGAAGCGGTCTCGTTGCGCAGGATGATCTTTCCGGCGCGGTTGGCACCCTTGTCGTGGGCGAAGTTGTTGCGCAGGAAATCGATATCGCGCGCCAGCATCTTAATATCGATGCCTTCCTCCGGGATGTAGACGGCCGAGGCACCCACCGCGAGACCAGCGCTCGTGGCGATGTAACCGGACTTACCACCCTGGGTTTCGACAACGAAGACACGACGGCGGGAGGATGACGCGGACTGACGGATAGCGTCGCAGAACTCGATCAAAGTGTTCAGGCAGGTGTCGCTACCGAGGGAGTATTCGGTACCGGGAACGTTGTTCGAGATGGTGGCCGGCAAGACAACCATGGGGATCTTGAAGGCCGGATATTTCTCGCGGGCCTGGCGCAATTGGCTAACAGCGGTAAAAGCCTCGAAACCACCAACCACAAACAGACCATCGAACTTGAACTTCTCAAAGCACTTGGCAGTGGTCTCGAAGTCCTCGGACGGCAGGCTTCGGTTGGTTCCGATATCTGAACCACCTTCGTTAACCCAGGTATCCTGCTCCTCCCAACTAACCTCGCGCACAGAGCTAACGGGGGTGTCTGCGTGGTGCCGGCAGAGGCCGGGGAAACCGTTATGAACGGCAAGGGCCGTGTGTCCACGAGTCTGGCAGTAGGCGACGGCAGCGCGGGTGGCCTGGTTCATACCTCCGGCAGGGGCACCGACATGAATAATGGCAATGCGCATCCGCTATAAGACATTAGTTTGGCTTGCACACACGCTTGGCGCAGGACATGACATACCTTGTTTTCTGGGAGTATCAACTTGGGGTGGTCGGGGGTAGCAGTGTTCTTGTACGCGAAATGGTATTCCTTGAATTCGGAGTCACGCAGGTGCATAGCCTCGTCGAACTTGCGCTCATGGATAAGGTCGGCGACTTCCTTCGTGGCCTTGACTGCATCCATCAATGGCGTGCGCAGCAACTTGTTCTCGCGGACGGTGATGACCGGGGACGGAGAGTCGGGAGTCATATCTAAAACGGCGCGAACGGCTTCCACGCCCTGTAGGGTCGAGAGGGAACGGTCATAGGCACATGCTGCTCCTCCTCGTTGAGTGTGACCCAGGACGGTCACCCTAGTGTCCAGGTCAAGTCGGTTGGTCAGAATGTCCTTAATCTTGCTGCTGGTGATCTTGTTGAGTTGGCGGTCATGTGCGCCCTCAGCCACAATGACGATCGTCCTCCGCTTGCCTCGCTCCTGACGGTTCTTAGGGTCAAAGTTAGCATGCAGATGCACCGGCTAATCCCATGGTTCCGTGATCGCTTACCTTGGTGATGATAGAGCACATGTCATCCTCCCAACCGTCGCGGGGTGGCATCTCGGGGATGAAGAGCCAGTCGGCACCAGTACTGATAGCCGACATCAACGCCAGCCAGCCACAGTGACGTCCCATAACTTCAATAACGAAGCCTCTCTGGTGGGAATAAGCAGTATCGAAAACGTCATCGACAGCATCACAGATGCGGGTGAGGGAGGAATAACAGCCGATGGTAGCGTCTGTGCCGGACATGTCGTTATCAATCGAGCCCACCAGACCAACGATGTTCAACACCTTGTAAGGGACAATCTGCTCCTCAGTCAATTCGCCCGTCTTGATCAGTTCTTCCAGCAAACCAGGCCACTCGGAACGGAAGAGGTCGGCACCAGTCAAACTTCCATCACCACCGCAAACCACCAGGCATCAATGCCTCGGACGACCATGTTCTTAGCGGCCTTCAGGCGACCGGCACGTTCCCGGAAAGCCATGCTACGAGCTGAACCGATCAGGGTACCACCCCGGGAGAGCCAGCCACGGACATCTTCCCAGTGTACCTGACGGATCATATCTCCGCCATAGACCAGACCCTCATAACCTTCGTAGACGGCATAGGCTTCACACCCAGAGTAGATAGCCATCCGAACAACAGCACGGACGGCGCCGTTCATACCGGGAGCATCACCGCCAGAGGTCAAGACACCGATACGGCGGCGCTTGGCAGGCTCCGCGGGGGCGTGTGTCGGAGCCATCATGCAGATGATGGTCTATTAGAGAACTATAGGTGAACAATAAGAAGGAAGGTCAATGATTCGATCTAATGAGTGACAAACAAAGGGGGTCTGAATGGATAGTGGAACAGTTGAGGTTTAGATAACTTGTGTGACGGTGGGGGGGGAAAGAATTCCGGTGAGAAAAAGCGGGAGTGGGCAATGGTACGTCACTGACTGGAAGTTGATAAGAAAGTGAAACTAAACTCGATCGTCGATTCAGTAGTAGTTCGAGTGTTGTATCTCCGACTACGGGATCCCCCTGCAGGAAAAACTGACAGACAGTACTCCTGTATTGCTGATCTCCACGTGTTTCCCGTCACTTTATGCAGTTTCGGCGGGTTGCTGAGGGATTGAGAATGTCTGAACTGCAGGTCAGAGAAACACACTATCGTCACTGATGTCACTGACATTGCCTGTTCGGGCCAAGCGTCCGGAGCTATCACGTGATAGCCCCTCTAGGGCAGGGCTTGGGCCAGCACGTGTGGCGGCCGACTACGATCCGTGGCGGAGAGTGACGCCATCCAACAGTCAGCATGGAACCCCTCGAAGCACTGCGTATCAAACATCCAGGCATCTCCTCACGTTCTACGGTCTGGTTGGCTATAGGTACAATTTTTCTCTACAATTACTTCAAACTTGACCCGGTGAATGGCTCCAATGGCCCCAGTTTTATGATATCAGGCCACAGGGATCAGGATATCCTGTCTTACCATGTGGCTCGACAGAGCTTACCTCCCCAATTGTGAGAAAAACAAGCAACTCTGTTCTCTCTTGAACTGGGACGGTTATCAGTAATCCAATGGCACAGACATAGCATACAGTTCTCGTAAGATGAGTCCATCTAATATACGACTCTTGTGTAGATTACTTGACCCTTAAACGACCCGATATACAGAATGATGTTTGAATTAAAGCTCTTCTCCCGGGGGCTCCATAGTTCAGAAGCTGTTTTGTCTACCGGTCAAGGGCTCCACTTTATCACTATGCCTCTTTGGGCCACTTTTGTAAAGTAAATAACAAACATGCGATTATGCCACCTGGGAAGAAAAAAAAAAGGTGGTATACGCTGGTAAATTAGGTGAAGCAAATATTCTAAAGCAAGTATGATTATTGAGAGTGCTCTATGATATACTAGTTGCTCACCAGGTCTAATTGTACAATTCATGCATGCTGTCGAATTATATGCAACAATAACTACTCGTAGATATATATATATTCCCGTCCAGTAAGGGAAAGAGGTAGCAGCTTACTTCCACCCCAACCGGATGACAGACAATTTGATAATGTTAGCTTAACTGTCCGGTAAGCACGATTGTCTCTATTGTAAAAATCATGTATACTGTCACGAAAATTGCTGTTTCAAGGGCTACACAATAACGTGACTACATCGACCAAACCGGATCACGTGCCGACTCACCGCGTTGCCGGCAATCTAATCAACACCAGCTCTCCAAAGTCAATCTTCAGTACCTCCGTCTTTCTGATCCAAGTTCTGCCGCAGCAGGGTGACAACCGGCGTCATGTCCGATTCGTTCAACCTCCCTCTTCGTCCCCTGACTGAGAAGCGCGAACGTCCAGATCCGCTTCCCGTGGAGATTGCTCAGATTAATGCCCAGTATGGTTCCTTTCGCGATGTCACTGAGGACAGCCTCCGGGCCAAGATCGAAGCCGACAAAAACAAAGATCCATGGTCCGACGAAGAGGAAAACGACAACGCATCTGCCGATGAGGATACGACGGAGCGTCTAGATCAGCTGTATAAGCGTCGGGCGGCCATTGCCCAATTCGCCCAGTAAGCTTCACCCATACGGAGGATATCTCGTGCGCTAATCGCCTGCAGCCAGGCCCACATGGAAGCCATGTTCGCCCTCGACTTTGTCTCCCTTTTGCTTTCAAAGCATACTCCTCGGCAAGCCGAAATGTCCATGTCCGCATACCTGAAACAAGTTGCGCCCCTCGGATCGCTAAATTCGGAAATTGTCAATCCCCCGCCGAAGCCCGAGTCAGCGGCTAGAGACACCAAGAACGTTTCGCGTGGGTGGAGGCTGCAAAACTTTAACGCAGCGGCGAGCAAATTACTTGACTCCGCGACCAGACTCGAAAGCGAAGTCGCCTCGGAGACCAAGTATTGGAATGAAGTGCTGGCGGTGAAGGAAAAGGGATGGAAGGTGTCTAGGCTACCCCGGGAAAGACAGGCCCTTGGGGTACAATATGGCTTTTTAGAAGGTGAGATAGATCCACGTTTCTGTATGGTTTGTACCCTGACAGCCGTAGCTACACCAATCTTCCGTGACCGGGGCTTGGCGGCTCTGCGACGGACCAACGACGGAAGCTTGATACTAGACAAAGGTTTAATTCCACTCAAGGCGCGGACCGTGCGCGTGCGTGTGAGGAGTCGTGGCCAAATCACAGGGTGCTCGAAACACCGACTGGCTTTGGATAACACCGAGTCAGTTGAGAGTCGTATCCTGCAGGCGCGTGATACCGTATACGAAGAGGAACTGTTTCATGAGCTGGTACGTGAGGCAAGAGTACTGGGTAGCCAGGGGGTCACGACGCGCCAGAACCTAGTTCAGTTCCCAGTGTCGGAGGAGCAAGAGGTCTTGCTGGATCTTATCGATGACGATCAGATGTCGCCCGGGGATGAAGCAGTGTCTGATGAGCATACCGTGGTGGCAGACGCCCTTGGCCATGCAATCCGTATCCTGCTCGCCTACGCCCATCGCCAAAATCTACGCCGAAGGACACAGCTTCCAATTCCATTAACCCCCAAGCGCCGCCAAACCCCGGAATACCAGCTCCTCCGGCCAGTAATGGCATATTTGCAGCATAGCTCACATGTGCGATGGTTGGAGTCGTTGTTGAACGATATAAACCAAATTTTGAAGTCTGCTGGGATCCCGTGTGATTTTACAGCGACTCCCTTCTCGTCTCTCAGTTTCCAGCGTACCGTCAATGGGCTTCCAAAGGTAGAGGCTCTGGTCCAAGACCTCTTGTTGCCCTACGAGTCGACCTTTTCTGCGCAACTCGTCACCCCTCAAAGCTCATTCCGGGTCAAGGTTCGCACCAACGTCACAACACCACCGCTCGGCACTCACTACGAAATTTCAGTCAACATGCCTCAATATCCTGATGTCCGCCCTCCGAACCGCATCGGCTTGCAGGATGAGGTAGCCTCTGTACTCACGCATTTTGTGCTGCTGGACATCCTTACGGCCATCACTCACGCCAAGGGCTTATCCGCAAATGGCGTCAAGCAAGAGACAGGCCGCCTGTTGACTTGGCAAGCAGCGTATCCACATAATGGCGAGTTACTCGCCCTCTCCAGCGCCGGCCAGTACAAGAAAATGAAAGTGAGCTTATCGCGGCATGAGCTAACCGTGCGAACATACTCCCTGCGGGGCATTGATGGGTTTGGCAAACCGGCTGCGGACAAAACGCCGGCCATGCGCTCGCAGACATGGAAGTCCGATGGCACTCCCGGCCAGCCTAGCCTGATGGGCTTTATCACTGAAGTATCCAAGGAGTAATGGAAACTACCATTTGATCGAAGTGGGAGAGAACAAAGCAATCGGGAAACCCCCCTTAAAAAAAGGGGAAATTCAAACTTCTATCCATCGCATGAACTCAGCACAGAAAATAGGCTGGCACACTAATATACACAGATCAGCTTCAAAAACCCCAATCCAAGATGTTATGCATTTAGTGACTTGGAACGCCGCTATCATAGATAGTAGCATCAAGCACCCAACTCGAAAGATTCGATTGCATGGTCCAGCGTCAGTGGCTCTTTCAGCCGTGTCTCATGAATCCCGTACGCCTTTGGCAACCACGCGCTCACATCTTTTCCGATCATTATTTTTGCCAACGCTTCTCCAGCCAGCAAGCAGTTGGCCATGCCATATCCGTTAAATGCAGCAGCGACGTATTCACCTTCGCCCTGTCGTCCTGTCATTGAGGTTTCCGCACGTCCGACAACGGGCAGCCCGTCTGCGGAGAAGCCCATTATTCCACTCCACCCGCTCGCTAACCTCCACTGTTCCGCTCCGTCGTAGCCAAGGAAGTGTGGCAGCTTCTCTTGTAAATGCCTGATGGAGCCTTCCTCCACCTGACTGTCGTCCGATGATAAACAATGCTCAATTCGTGTGTCCTCTCCACCGAAAAAGAAACACCCTGTTTTCGTGTTCTGCATGAGATAGTACAAACCAGCAGCATACCTCCTGGACTCTTTGTCATAGATAACGGGATAATGGAAACCCCACGAGAGATCGCCACCGCGGTTGAGCATGATACTGCCTGCATCTTGCACCGTCATCGTTCCCTTGAAGGGATAGATTTGGCCACGGAGTCCTGGGAGCAAATGTCCTGCATGACCATTGGTACAGTGCGCGATCTGTGTTGCGCGTAGAGTTCCTCGGGGTGTATGCAGGATATACGGGTGGGAAGGGTTCGTCGCATCGGAAACGATAGAAGTAACGGGGGTTTGCGTTTCAATATTCAACCTATGCCCGTATCTCTTCAAGAGACAGGCAAAAACCTCAGTCACCAGCCGGTAAGGCCAGATGGTCCCAGCAGGCAGCAGAGCACCCCCAGCGCCGTCCAGATGATACTCCCTCTACACATGTTAGACACCATGAAAGCCATACCGACACTCAATCCAATCAAACTACATACCTTCAACACCTCCCTATCAAGAACCGTATAAACCCCTCTAAAATCCGGCAAATCCCTCTCCAGAGCGTTCACGCTCCTTTGAAAGCGTTCAAACCCACGCTCTTCCAGAAAGACCCTCGCCTTCACCACCTCCTGCACCTGACTCTCCTCTACTGCAAACCTTCTTACCAACTCCCTCATCCTCCGTAAATTCTCAAACGTAAACTGCACAATCTCCCCCGCACCCTCTCTTCCAAACTCCTCTGCCAAATGCAAATACTCCTCCCCGGCATTTGCAGCCAATTGACCCCCATTCCGGCCCGTTGCACCCGAGCATAGCGACCTAGCCTCCAGGACCGTGACAGTAAGATCCGGATGCTCATCCAACAGAGTAATCAGTACCGAGAGCCCTGTTATCCCGGAGCCAATGATCGCGACATCGGTTTTTCCCGGCAGGGAAGAGGATTGCGTATTGCTGAGGGGGTGTGGTGGGGATTGCCAGTATGAAGACGTTGGGTTGGGTTTCGGGAGGCCTGGGTCTTGGGTGAGGAGGGCCTTGAGGTCTGGAGTTTGCATTTTTGGGGCTCGGTTGCAGGGCTCGTTGTTGTTGTGTTCGGGGTATGGGTTGTGTTGGGGATGAGGTTGTGGTTTGGGGGGGTTTATCTTGAGAGGGGAGTGTGGGGTTGACATTAATGATAGGATAATTTGTATGCGGGGAATTGATATGATATGATATCGGGATATCGGGTTTTGGATTGTTGGTAAATAGAGAGATGGACTGGCTTTATGATCTACGCTGCTTTTCTTCTAGGGTATTTCTTCCATGCCCCGATTTGGATACCTTGTAGGGCACGTGTCTCTGTTTAACCCTGGAAGGCGGACATGGAAGGGTTATGATTCTCCTGCTTCTATCGTGGTTCTGGAGGACGGTGCGTATATGTCGTCGCTTCTCTAGCGCAATTAGCTACTCGTACTAGTAGCTAGGATGAGGAAGATTGGATGCTACTCTTAGGCACTTTGGCCAGGCTATAAGTTTGTGGTTTCATGAAAATACTTCGAGAGCACTATCAACACTAGAAACTACCATAAAAGCTAGAAATTCGAAGGTAATTGATACTAGTTACAGAATCAACCTTAAGTTCATAATGCAGTTGGTGGACAATGATTGGTCCGCTCAAATATCCGAGGTTAAACATGGCCGCGCCAACGTCACCGATCATACATACCCAGAACCATAGACAAGACCACAAAAAGAAAATCAACATACGCAATGCTGCTCCGACGCACACCCTTCAAACCCCTCACCCAATCTCTTCTATCTAGCAGAGCACACCTCTCAACCCGCACCAAGCCCCAAAAGAGTCTCCCAGCGGCCTACTATCGCGGCGGAACCTCCCGAGCCGTAATCTTCAAAACAGAAGACCTCCCCGCTGATCGCTCAGCATGGGATGAGATCTTCCGCCGCGTAATCGGCAGTCCGGACTCCAATGGCCGACAGCTTGACGGGCTCGGCGGCGGCATATCAAGCCTATCCAAGATATGCATCGTTGGCAAATCCACGACCCCGGACGTCGACATCGACTACACATTTGTCTCTCTGGGCGTCAAGAACACGCACGTCGACTACTCCAGTAACTGTGGAAACATGATTAGCGCAATTGGACCCTTTGCCGTTGATTCAGGTCTATTCCCTGTTAACACCGATGGACATGAGGACGTCGAACTGCGCATCCTGAACACCAACACGGGTAAGGTCATCCGATCTCGGTTCCCCGTAGTAGAAGGTGAAGCCGCAGCCTCGGGCGATTTCGCCATCGATGGTGTTGCTGGGACCGCAGCGAAGATTCAGTTGGATTTCCTGGATCCCGCCGGGTCGAAGACGGGGAAGTTATTTCCCACGGGCAAGGTGGTGGATGAGTTTGACGGCGTACGCACGACTTGTATCGACGTCAGTAACCCGTGTTGCTTTGTTCTTGCGTCCGAGCTAGGAGTGGAGGGGAATATCACGCCCGAGGAAATTGATGCTCATCCGACGCTTTTGGGTCGATTGGATGCCATCCGCAGACAGGCTGGTGTTGCCATGGGTCTTGCTGAGACGACTGAGTCCGTGCCCGGCAGTGTACCGAAGATTGGGCTTGTTGCTTCGCCGGCGTCGAATACGCGGGCGTCAGAGCAGGGACAGACGGCGGCGGATGTGGATTTGCTGGTTCGGGCGCTGTCGGTGGGCCAGCCGCATAAGGCGGTCCCCATTACCGTTGCTTTGGCGCTGGCGGCTGCTGCTCAGGTGTCGGGGAGTGTTGTGGCCGGGGTGACGAGTGGGAAGGCGGTTGATCCGGCAGGGATTACGCTGGGTCATGCTAGTGGGAAGTTGGTTGTTGGGGCTGAGTTTGGATCGGATGGGAGTTTGAGCCATGCGACGGTGTTTAGGACGGCGAGGAGGCTGATGGAGGGGAGGGTGTTTTGGAAGGGTTAGGGCTTTCTGGGAGTGTTCTGTACATTATTATGCGTGTGGCAGCAATGGTTCTGGTTATATTAGATTGTTAGTAAAGGAGCGATGTCTTGAAGGTGCAGCATTGGAGGCCTTCATCAAGCTAAGGGCTACTGGTTCATCTCTAGTTATGATGCTGAATGGAAACTATAGATCAATTCAAGTTCAAACTTCCGTTTCACAACAGCCTAGCTAAATGACCATAAAGAAAAAGCCACACAGACAGCCAACGCATAAAAGCAAGGAGATAACAAAGCGAACCAACGTCCTGCAGTCTGCAAATGGAAATGGACATAGAGATGAACAAAGTGTAGCACGACATGTTGCCTGTAAAGGTCAGGGTGAGAACAGCATGCGGCGTGCTATTTCCCCTGTTGCGCCTTTGAGGCTCACCACATCTGGCCGTCAAAACATGATGATAATAGGAATGGGACTGAATATAACAAAGAGATCGGTTGCATGTTCTGCATCGGAAAAGCTGACTGAAACCGCATCCAAGAGAAAGAACATCACCCATGTTCCCGTTATTCGAAGTTAAGCATTCCCCTTGTTCAGACTATCAGAGCTCTTGTTGGAAGGGTGTTTCCTCTGATTCAGTTTCCTGGAAACCTCCTCTTGCACATACCTCTTGCGTGCCGCCCATCTCGTGTATGGCTGCATTGATACCATAATTCCCAGCTTCTGTGTGTTTTGCACCACTACTCTTCTTCCCATACTGTCGCTCTATATCTGCACCTTGCTCTCTAGTCCTTGGATTAGTTTATTAGCTCGTGAATAGTTTAAAAAGAGCCTTTCTTTCTGATTTATTAGCCAGGTCTTCTCGATGATATTCTGTTTTCTAAATCCAGTAAGTGTTATAGATAATGAGACTGACGAATAGATCCCATGTTGAGTATCGTTTCTGCAGCTAGCTGCCCGGAGTGCAGCAGCAGCCTACTAGCCTAGCACCTTTGAATAGCGCATACCTCAACCGTGCCATCTATTGAAAGATTTATATTATATTTACAGCTCATTATAGCTGTTCACATGTGTATATTCTATTAGCAAGACTCTATAAGTCAAAGTATCCTAGGTAAAATAATCTATACAAGTACTTTTAGTACTTCAGCAGCACAATGACAAAACATGAAAAAGTCATGTTAAGGTAAAATTAAACATTATGTTCTCATAATGGCATGTTGAATGGTGAAACCAAGACCAACAACCCCTTTGCCATGAAATTAGTGCACTCACCTCTGCTTCAACATCCCACATCAACGTCAATCAGACGAGGGATCTTGCCCTTATTTGTGTTTTTTTCTCCAAAGTTCTCTTCACATCCTCAATGCACTTGTCGAACTTGACCCTGTTGGCTTCCTTGTCTCTGTTGTCGGTAACCAGGTACTTATACTTCCAATCGTCTAGCCAAGGTACCAGATTCTGATCGACGCCCCTCATTATTTGGTTCCAGGATAAGCCATGTCCCCGTTTGGGGTCATCCTGATTGTGACGGTACAACCAGACGATGGCATTTAGGTAAACAAACCACAGCCACGCGTCATTGACAGAGGCATCACGCTTCGATTCAAGGCTGCTTCTGACCCCACTATCTTTGGCGCGATCGATAGATTTACCAAGGTCATAAATGGACTTGACAGCCTCGTAAAACTGGAAGCACCAGGACTCGATCGCTCGAACGAGCAATGGAGCTTGTACCGCATAGAAACTAACTCGACGACCACACAATGGACCTAGAGAATCCTTGAATTGTGGCAGCGTTTCAACGAGGGGTGCGAATTGAAACCTTGGCTTCTCCCCCAAGAAAGGCACCTTCGTGTCTGACAACAGCATGTAGTTTCTATCGCCAGGGTCTGGTTTTCTAAGAGCTGGTTCAGGTTCGCCTTTGAAATGTGTCGAGTGCTTGTAAAGGTCGACGCGACCTTTACCCCCTCTGTAGTGCAGGTGCACGTCAGGCTTAGGTCTGCTTCCCTTGGATAACTCCTCTTCACAAGCTCTTTTAGTCCTGCAATCTAAGAACCTATCGTGTCGAAGGGCGGTAAATGCGTTTTTAAGGTCTTTGTCACGGACCACGACCTCCGAGTTCTGTTCAATATTAGTATCTGATACAAGTAGTACGTGGTATAGATGCCTGGCTTGCTCACCTGAGACAATGGCGCAAGGTAGTGACAGCTCAATATGGTTGCGTGGGATACATAGTTGGGGATACCCCTACTTGTAAGCGCGTCGGCTATGTAAGAGTCTGAGGAGTAATCGCGCTTTTCGACCCAGTATTTTGCAACCCGTGGCTCCATCTTTTTAACTTTGGGAGTCTGCATCTTGGAGTCGTAGCACTGGAATGCGGTGATTTAGTACTGTTGATTGCTACGAGGAGATGGAACTCCAATATATACACAACCTTCCGGTGTTGACCGATGATGTATTAACACAGGTCTCACACATCTAGCAGTGGCTATTTGGATACTACCGGCTCTACATAAAGTGTCGCACATGGTGGTAGTACAGTAATTGATTGAGTTATAGGATACAGCCATAAACGGACCCTCTCCTCTGGGCAGAACAGAAGTATTGTGATTGAAAGTGCCAGTCAGAATTCAAATATAGGAACTTTACCTGCTCTAGGAATCTCGCTCTTCTCCGCTGTGACTGAAATTGGATTATATGGCTTTAATCTGTAAGGCTTCGAGATTGTACAGACAAAAACACAACTTTTTCACCGGTTTTGTAGCTCATTAAAAAGTTTCATTCGTCGATCTGGTCCTTTGTCGAACTTGAAATCTACATGCATGAATCAGCAACATGAGCATGGCGTATTTCCGAGATGAGTTGTTGCTGCGTCTTTGTCTTCTTTCCTCCCTTGGGCTTACAACTAGCTACATAGCTCTAACTGCTCTCGAGATCTTCTTAGTATTCGATACATTACTAACACAAACTACTACTTTTATATGCGAAATAGTTTATAAGCAAAGAAATGTGGCTTGGCTGGAGCTGCCGCACCACATGTTTGTACGATGTGCTGCAATATTGGAGAGGAAAAAACGTAGTTAAGTCTGTGACATACTGAGAGGTCTGCATAAATTCAGTGAATTATGGGAAATTGGCCATTGTAAGCTCTGTATTGGTACTCTCTTCACCGTAAACATCTTCAGAGTCAGCTCGGTAGATCCGTCTGTTCAGCCGAAAAACTCTCAACAATTCCCTCGAGCCTGGCTGGTATATCTACGCCAATTATCTCTGGACTAGGGTGAAAAGACTCGCCGAGGTGGAAATTACATCACTATTCCCAAAGCCTCGAATTGGAAAAAATGGATATTGATTATTGGGAGCTCACTGTGGAGTATATCTGCCCCAAGCGACAACTACCATACAAAGTGTAAAGCCACTCAATTTCCTGGGGATGTAGAATCAAGTTGAGAAAATACCTGAGATATCTGAACAAGCTCTAACCCGCCTCGCTGCCCCAAGGTATATCGGTGAACAAGAGATCCAACGAGGCGTTACAACCATCTTGAAAGCGGATCTCTTGTCCACGGCCCTTTCTTCTCTGCCTCAGAAATGTCATACTCTAGTAACTTACCTGGCTATATCAGCTGAGTTCTAAGCTTTATTAGATATTCCCAACGCCTGTGTTCATCTCCGGTCACCAACCCCTATTCATGGAACTCTGGATGAAGAATTTCCAATGTGAAAATGAAATTTGGGAGATGGCTTGATACAATGAATTAGGATTGATAAATATATTGGGCGGTATTTCTATTAAAACAGAAGTAGAGTAGATGCATTTCTTCATGGTTTCCTATACAGCAGCCAGTTAGGGTACATCTTTACGTGCCCTTCCTGTCTTTGTTGTTCAATGCAATGCTTACGTTCGGTAATCACCATGTTAATTTCCACCAATTATGCGGCAAAAGGGGGGTAAATTACGGTATTTCGACATACCAGGCCCACCGGTGAGGATCATCCGAGGAATGTCGCCTACGCCGACTGTTTTCCTGTCGTTCATTGCCTCCTTGCGCGGTCAAACATTCGACACATTATCATGGCTGGCCCCAAACATCACCAGTTTAAAGATTATCCGGAGCCCAGAAAGGGGTGAGCGCGATTCCGACCTTCTCTTGGCAATGAAGTGGGATATTAACAATATGCATCCACAGGCCTCAGCTGCCGCACACTTATGACCGGAAGCCTAACCCGGCACTTCGCGGCGTCATCTTAAGCATTGGCGCATGGCTGTATGTTACTCCACATACAGGCAGTGTCTGCGTATGTACCGTAGCATATAAACTAATTCTCAAATAGGCTGGACTGGCTGTGGTTCCTGCCGCAAGTAATCTGGTCGAACGCGGGTTTTGGGTCACTCCGGACGATCCGGTCCCACCTGGATTACACCGAGCCTCGTTATGACCCAACTGTTGTCCCTCTGAAAGGCAATACGGGAGAAAAGACCGACGATTCTGTCGTGCACGCGGTATCGGCACCGGCAGTCAATTATCCTACGAAATACTACTCGGTCGCGGATTACCATGCGCTTTACAAATCGGGAGAGTTGACGCCTACTGCGGTCGTCAAGGGACTCCTCCCGTTGATCCGACGCGATTTGTCCACCCCCGGTAAACATTCTATTGCGTTTATTGACAGCCGGGTCGATTTGGTTCTTGCTGCAGCTGAAGAGTCTACCCGTCGTTACCAAGAAGGGCGACCGCTCGGCTTGTTCGACGGTGTTCCTGCCGCGGTGAAAGATGAGTTCGATCTCGATGGGTACCGCACTAACATTGGCTCCCTGAATGATTACACCCTTGAGCCAAACTCGGACGATCCGTCCATCACCAACTGGTGTATTCGACAGCTGCAGAAAGCTGGAGCAATTGTAGTGGGGAAGGTCTCGATGCATGAGTTTGGACTTGGTACGCATTCCTTACTGCATTGTCGTGGTATACTAACACAAAAAGTCAGATACCACTGGAAATAACATTCACTACGGCACTCCGCCAAACCCATACCACCCGGACTACTACACCGGCGGAAGCTCCTCCGGATGTGCATACGCCGTGAGCGCAGGCTTAGTACCCATCGCGCTAGGCACAGATGGTGGAGGAAGTGTCCGGATCCCATCGTCGTTCTGCTCTGTGGTGGGATTAAAGCCTACCCATAACCGACTTTCGCATTATCCGGGCGTCAACTATGCCAGTACCACCAGCGTGATTGGACCTCTTGCTGCAGACATTCGCTCTCTCGCCGAAGCGTATCATATTTTCGCCACACCAGGTCCAGATACACCATTCCCAGCCCCAGGCCCCCTCTCACTGTCCCCGTCAACCACAAGAAAGAAGCTCCTCGGTATTCCAGAAGTATGGTTTTCCCGGTCGACTCCGGACGTCCAACGTCTCTGCCGTTCCCTCCTGGACAAGCTTGTCACCGAGAAAGATTACGCCCTGGTTCCGATCGACATCCCCTTCCTCGTCGAAGGCCAGACAGCCCACGCCATGACCATCCTGACTGATGCTGCTGCTCTGCTCCCCGATACCACCAACATCACCGCTCCGAATCGCATTCTCCTGTCTCTCGGCCGTACTACTCCCGCTGCTGATTACCTTCTCGCGCAGAAACTTCGTCGGCTCCTGATGCAGCATCTTGCTGCCCTCTGGGAAGAATTTCCTGGTATGATCATCGTGACCCCTACGACTGCATGTGCGGGCTGGCCGGTTGTATCGAAGTCGGAGTTGAAATGGGGACTGAGTGATGGCGACCGCACGCTGAAGGCCATGGAGTACGTGTGGCTGGCGAACTTCACTGGCATTCCTGCGATTAGCGTTCCGGCGGGATATGCGGACCCGGAGGGGAAAAGCAGTACCGAGGGAACGGTTCCTGTCGGGCTCATGGGGAATGGAGAATGGGGTAGCGAAGAGCAGTTGTTGCAGTGGGGATTGGAGGCCGAGGAAGTCGGGGCGGACTTGCGTGAGAGGCCACCAATCTGGGAGGATGTCATTCAGAGGGCTAAGTGGGTTGGTTCTAGCAGTGATGCTCGAGCGACTGCATGAAAGAGACAAAGATAGATTTTAGATCCCCCCATAAAGACATTAGATACGGTGTAGGTATATGTTCGCATCACGAACGATAGTGTACAATGAACCATCTGCGTTTCAATCGTCCTTGGTGACCGCCCTTTCAGGCTCTTCTACTCGATATCCTTGTCTCTCTTCCTTAGCTGTCCTCCACACGATCCCCGTCGTCCAGATGACCAACGCAATCGAGCACCCGATCATTGCCCACATTCCCCGCGTGAACCGGGGTGCTAGATTCGCCGAATAGAAAATTATACTCCACCACGCATTGACCGCGTTATTGCCCATGTTCATGCTGGCGATTACCACCGACCGCTGTCGTGCATCCTGCGATCGCATCGCATCGTTACACCAGGCGAAGAACGTCGCCTGGCATGCGTACACAGCTCCGGCCCAATAGTACGCCCCGAACACGGTTGCGGTAGAGTCAAAGCGCGTCAGAATTAAGACGGATGTAACAACGCCAGTGATGCCGATGAAGTAGCTGACTAGGTATCGCTTTCCTTGCAGGACGTCGGTGAGCGTGGCCCAGAAGAGGGTCGAGACGATGCCAACTGCTGGGACTCCCGTCGGATAGTTGTTTAACTGGGACACGGTATAGTGGATTGTTGGGTGGGCTTTCATGTACAGTGCTAACAGCGAGTTCGAGGAGAAGGATTCCGTCTCTCCGGCAATGACCCATAGGATGACGAATCCCCACCAGTACCACGTGGTGAAGAGTTGTTTGATAAAGGCCCGGTTTACGGGTGCACGATTAGCATTGACTGTCGGGAGACGTGACACCGCTAGCTCCTTTTCTGCTGCGGTTAGGTAGGGAGCTGTTGTGGTGGTTGGGGTGTCGGGGAATAATAGTAGGCCGTAGATGGCTATGGGTAAGGTGATCAAGCCATCGATCTGGTTTGTGTTAATATCTTTTCTTGTCAGAGGGTGCAGGCCAAGCTACTTACGATGAAGAGCCATCGCCATCCTGACAGGCCTCTGACACCATCCAACGAAGAATGAATGCCGGTTTGAATGAAGCCGCCGAACATGGTTCCCGCGAGCCCCGAGGCTGTAAATATGCCGCTGCGTTTGCCCAGTTCCCGCTCAGTATACCATGAACCGAGGATATAGTGAGTTCCCGAGAAGGTGCTAGCCTCGGCAAGTCCAAGGAAGAATCGAATGGCCATAATGCCCTGGGGACTATGTACAGCTGCGGTCACCATAGTCAAGGCACCCCAGAACAGGACCATGGCGGGGAAGAAGATCCGCGGACGGAAGTACGTTAAGGCCAAATTGGATGGGACCTGGCCTATGATGTATCCCACCGTAAAGACTGTGTTGATCACATTGAGCTGATTGCCATGAAAGGCCAACTCCTCCTTCATACCCGAGACATAGGCGTTGGATAGGTTGGAGCGATCTAAGTAGTTGAAGAAATACGTCACGCAGCAGAATGATAGAATGAAGAAGTCAATCTTCACCACTAGCTTCTTTTCCGGGTCTTTGATTCCCCACATACTCGATCGGGGTAGTAATGAGAAGGATCACCCCGCGGTTATGCAGGGTCTGATCGCTATCTCATTCCTTTGGAAACGAGGTCAATTGCAAGCAAGTATTTTTTTGATATCGAAGTTGATTGGTGAACGGACGAAGGCGCTAGACCGCTTCTGATGGAAGTTGGCAGATGCCTCAGGCTGCATGTCACGCGGGACACATGGAGTGTCACGAGTTATGACAAGCCCTGGAACGTTCAGGCTGATAAAAATTTTAGGTTCGATAGACTCGAATGGGTCTGGAAAAGGTGACAATGGGCGATGCAACTCCACTCCACTATAAGCATCATCTGTGACCCAATGATTGTCTGGGTATAGTGAAAACTTTTTCACGTCATGCTCTTGGCATCAACACAGCCCCAGAAATGCTCACCGCTAGAGGCCCTCCACCACTGAGCGTCCGTCCAATGCGCTGCACCCTGCAGACTTAGCTCGGGCTTGTATTCTGCCGGCAGAAAAGCACACATCAGCGGTGACACATTGTCTCATCCCCTACATAACATTTATCCCTCACATTCTGCCTTTCCGATGCAACGTTTTTGGGCTTCCAACCACCCATTGCAAGACACGTCAGGATGGTGTACGGCCTATCGGTGAATTTACAGCTCACATGCTCACCTGCACAAGCTCTGTTGCCTTTTGAGTAAACATGGGTCTGGTGGCAGACATCCACCTGGACGGCGCTCCTGGTGAGCGCCTAGATGTCAGCCCATGTATAGATGACCCTACAGTCCCGGACTCCGACGCCAGCGGACCTGAAGAAGTGGATGAATTCAAAGACCGAAAGATGTCTTTCTACGATGAAAGAGGAGCCGCTCCTGCGACCCAGTTCAGCTTCTTTACATCGCAACTGGATTCTGTCATCCATTCGTCCACCATCCAGTCCCTGCGGTCGTTCTATAAACCCTTCGACACGCTGCTAGACACCACAGAACATTCCGGGCTATGGTGGCTCGATGTAACCGTCCCCACGGATGATGACATTGAAAAACTTTCGCAGATCTTTGACGTCCATCCGCTGACCACTGAAGATATCAAAATGCGAGAGTCGCGAGAGAAGATCGAATTGTTCGGTCGGTATTACTTTCTTTCCCTGCAGCCGGCCCGGCAAGTCGAGGCCGTCGATGGCACTCGATCTTCCTCTCCGAACGTGTATGCTATCATCTTTCGTGAGGGTGTCCTCAGCTTCAACTTCGGCAACAGTCCCCACGGGGGTCATGTCCGAAATCGGATCAAGGAGCACCGGAGCCATCTAGCATTGACCAGTGACTGGATCTCTTACGCCCTCATGTATGTTCACCTAACTGTGACTCAAATGCCGGCCTTCATGTGCTAATCTTCCCAGCGATGACATCGTGGACGGCTTCGCGCCTTTTATCAATCGCGTCCAAGCCGGCGTTGAATTGATCGAAGACGATGTGTCCATAACCCGGCCGGATGACATCGGTCTAGCACTTCACCGCATCCACCGATATCGGAAAGAGGTTCTGCAAATCCGCCAACTGATGAACGACAAAACCGACGTCATCCGCTGCTTCGATCGCCACTGCGGCTCGTTCGGTCCCTCAACCATGGATGTCACTTTGTATCTCGGCGACATCCGTGACCACGTGCTTTCCATGATGGCCGATCTGTATAATGCAGAGCAGATGCTGTCGCGAGCACAGGAGAAATATCTGAGTCAGTTAGCGTTCGATTCGACGCGCATGCGTAATGACATTGCGGCAACTCTTAGCCGGCTCACGGTCATCGGCGGGATCATTGTGCCAATGCAGTTTCTCATCGGTCTCTTCGGTATGAACGTAACTGTCCCGGGGCAGACTCCGGAGGACGAGGATTCGCCACCAGTCAACTGGTGGTATGGTATCTTGGGGGTGATTTTGGGTTTGATCTTTCTCGGGTTGATCACTGCGAAGCGGCTCCGATTTATTTAGACCTTCGCGCCTGTCTGCGTGCATGTGGGATTAAACAGTGTAGATAGTTTGTTAAGGGACATATCATATATATATATATATATACATACAGTTCAAGTTGTGCAAACAATTAAGGGCTTTATTACCACATCTCTCGGATTTGTATTGGCGTCGTGAATCATATGTATTGCTGCAGTACCAACCGATCGATAGCTCGAATATTCTTCTAGGCAGTCTCCGGCGCTTGTGCTTTCGAGGCACTTTCCTCCGTTTCGACCACACTACTAGTAGTAGTATTGGCTCAACGCCCTAAAGTTTGATGATCTCATGGACAACAACACCCATTCAGCCCAAAGACAACAAGCACCGGACATAAATAAATAAAACAGTAGGCCATACTCCCTTGCCCTTTATTCTCCCTGTTATCATGACTATACCATACAAGGCCGTAAGTAATTTCCCGCGGCTCATTTGTCTGCATTTCGGGAAGGTTCATCTTTTTCTTGTGGTAGTTGAGACCGGAACGTCAGAAGTTGGATAGGAAGCCTTTTTCTACAGCTCCATCCATGAAGGCATAAGTGACGCTTGGGAAAGTCTGCTGGTTGCTTGTTAAAGAGCTCTTGGTACATTTGTAGAAATATGCTTTACGAGGTATGGCATTGAAACCGTATGCTCAAATATTATCATGGTATGCATTATCCTAGTTATAGTAGTCGGATTGTAAGGGTAGCTTAACGATCATACGATGACTCAAGGAAAAGCCCTACCTGTCCATGCCCTGAAGAAGCAGTTACAGTAATGCCACCTTTCCTGCACAGTAACCGCATACGTCAACTATTAGCCCACCAGGGTAGACTAATGCAAGTCTACACAGGCTAAATTCGCCCCAGCCGTCTTTTTCTTCACGATGGACCACCCAGATCCCCTCAGTGATCACGCAGCTTGAAATATCGATCTAGGATTGGTCGAATCTCACCAGGTCTAACTGCAGCGACTGTTCGAGACCGGTTAAGCGATGGTGACAATTGCCGATCAGTCACGGTTGTTTGGATGACAGCCGTTATCCATGAAAGGCCAAAGCGTTGCTCAGATTGTTGATTTTGAGGGGAAACGTTACACTCAGCCAACGATGTGACTTATCATTGCATCCTCCTTCAATGGCGGAAGCGAAGGGAAAGTCCTAAACTGGTCTTCTTCCCCTGTTCCTCCAGTGCCTAGTGTGCTGTGTTCTCATTTCGACTCTCTTTACCTAGAAGACGTTGGTATACAAGGCGAAAATGGAGTTTGGGATATTTAACAGCGTTCTTGCCTTGCTGATCCTTCGCATCATCTATGAATACTATCGCGACTATCGCCTTCCCCCCGGCCCAAGACGTCTACCATTCATCGGCAATATCCACCAGGTGCCGCAAGTGTTGCCCTGGCGCATCTTTGATCAATGGAGCAAGAAATATGGCCCAATAATAAGCGCACAGTTTGGGCGGCAGACCATTATACTCATCGCAGACAATACTATTGCCCGAGAGCTGCTCGATAAACGAGGCAGCCTGTACAGCAATCGACCCAAACTGGTAATGGCCGATGATAACCTCGTGAAAGGTATGCATATTCTGCTGCGGCAATACGACGACCGTTTCCGACTGCATCAGCGGATGGAGGCCCCTGTACTTAGTCCGCGAGCGTCTTCCACCTACTATCCAATTCAGGACCTGGAGAGTAAGCAACTTCTGCATGAGCTTCTCTCGTCCAATGACTTCTCTCTTCATCTCGAGCGATATAGCATCAGTTTGCTTTACTCCTTGACATATGGATTCCGGGTAGAGACAGGGAATGAGCAAGATGTGGAAGATGCGCGTCGCATCCTACATAACTTCGTATATGCGTCTCGTGTTGGAACTTGGGCCGTAGATGCTCTACCTATGCTTAATTCCTTGCCAAAATTCCTGGCGCCGTGGAAGAAGATCGGTGAAGAATTGTTCCAGATCGAGTCAAGCCTCCATATGCGGAATATGAATAAAGGTCTGAGTAGCCCTGCATGGAACTGGTCTAAGGAGTTCTCTATCTCGAAGCAGGGACAGTTGATGCCACCACTGGAGCTTGCGTACGATCTTGGCATCCTGACAGAGGCAGGTCTTGAGACCACCTCAACTGTCATGAAGATCTTCGTCCTTGCGACTCAGGTGTACCCGCAATTTATCGCTGTAGCCCAACGCGAAATCGATCTCGTGGTCGGCCCTGACCGTCTCCCCACATTATCAGACAAGGATAGTTTGCCCTACATCTGTGCGGTAGTGGAAGAGACTCTCCGTTGGCGGTCAATTGTGCCCGGGGGCGTACCTCATGCTGCTCGGAAGGAGGACACGTACATGGGCTACCGGATCCCCAAGGACGCAACGATAGTTCCCTTGCATTGGTCAATGAGCCTCGATGGGCACCGGTTTGACAACCCGCTCGAGTTCCGCCCAGAGCATTGGCTAGCAGGGTCCGATAACGACCGATTCTCCAACTTCTTCGGATACGGGCGGCGGATTTGCACTGGAAGGCATATCGCGCGGAATTCCCTATTCGTGCTTGTGGCGCGCATTCTCTGGGCCTTTGATATCCGGCCACCTACTGGACCGGACGGCCAACCTAGAACCGTGGATGATATGGATTTTGGCTCGGGATTTGTATCTGCGCCAGCGCCGTTTGAAGCGGTCTTTGAGGCGCGCAGTGAGCAGGCTCGCGCGATTATCGAGAAGGAATGGGGATCTACGGAAAAGGATATCAATATCATCATGGATTCAATTAAGGAGAAGCAAAAGTCTATCGGACTTGATGTGAGGGGTTGAAAGGTTTGTACTTGAAGTATTACTATGCCGTAAATCATCTATCACCTTTAGCTGGGCTGGAATTTATTTTATTTCCCCAAAGGAATATTACGATGTGAGCCATTACAGACATTCCTTCAGAATAGCTAAGTTTGGGAGAATATTATCGCATCAGCATGTGTAGGTCAATTTCATGCATAATCAGGTCTAACAAATGTCATTTCCAAAGAACCACTAATTATACCTTCTGTTCTTGGGAATAACCACATAAAAGGGCTATTCGGCACGAAAGAGACAGGAAACTCCCCCCTATATCTCATTCACTACGTATAACCGCGGTCAAATGGCCTTTGAATAGGCGCCCATAGTCGTACAAAGAACAGCCTTGCTCATACCAAAGCTCACTCCACCATCAGTTGAACACCTCTCGCATCACGACTACCATGACGGCCGCTACCGACACCATGTATCCGACATCAACCACCCCAATCCAAACATCGGTCTTCGAGAGGTGTACCAGGTCAACGGTGATCACTTCAAACGCATGAGGGGCACAGAGGAGGGGATCGAGTATGAGCCCCAATGTCAAGCTATTAGCGCCAGCTAAATTATTGAGCTATTTTACAGAGTACTATGCGCTGTACTGTACTATTTTCATATTTCAGTACTTTTCAGAACCAATCATAAACCCAGAGGCTTCATCGTACCCACGTCATGTTTCCTGTTGATCCCCAAGCCTACCATCTAGGAATACGAAAACAATCAACTTTGTTGATAGGACGGCCTCAATATTATATTCTGAAACTTCTCCCTTCTAGGTATAAGTATTTTGAACAGAACTTCTTTTTTTTCATGTAGAAATGGCCATGAACATGGTCATCAGCGACGCTTTGGCCTCACAGAGACAACCGCGGACCCAGTCCGTACACCCTTTATTCAGTCTCGGCCTAAATATCCATATAATAGTTTCAGTACCTCATCGAGACTTTCAAGCTCGCGTTGATAATTTACGCGCAGTTGATGATAAGAATGCTTTGGTTCCTGTTGTTCACTTTAGGCATTGTCCTAGACACTGTTATACATTCGCTTCAACATCGCATTCCAGCACGCCCAAGCTGAGAAGTCGCCCACTCTCGAAGACAACAGAAGTAACCTTTCCAATGAACTGACTCTAATCGGATCCCAAGCCTCACTGGGAATTATCTCATTTCGAAAATGCACGGCGTAGAGGTAGTTGACTTTCTCGTTATTCAAATACCTATCAGCTTCCTCCGCCCTACTGAGTAGGAAGCACGCTATTGAGCCGTCAAGGTTTAGTTGTTGGGATTCAATTCGTCTGTGCGGTTCTAGTGTAATGATGCGACGGCGTAGATGCCGCCCAACCGATTTCAGGTCTTGTACTTTTCCTTCATCCCAGAGGTAGTTAAGGGCAGTGAGCCACAGACAAAAGGTCTCCGTGCTATACATTCCCAAGTTCCTGTCGGGTCAAGTAAGTATTGATTGGATTTGATCTATGCTTTTCCCCTCGTATATGCTGTAAAATCCACTACGAGGGACTCTTGGAAAGCTGGCCTGATGGTAGGAGTAATAGGCCTTGTAATCATGCCCAGCCTATTGACCCCACAGACGGTAGCAGTAGGTGTTGAATACAGAATAATAGTGACTGATTTCGTCTAGGCAGAGCTGCTCCATACACTCAAATATCCCCCTGCGAGGGTCGTTCTCCGGAAGAAGGATTCTCGCCAAGGTCAACAGATCATCTCTCATAGACTTCTGCAATTCATATTTTCCAGCACCATGAAGCATGAACAGGATAGCAAGGATATCATGGAACTGGCGATGATGGGTATTGTTGACAATCTCTCTGTAGGAGGATCTTGCAGCCTGTAATAGTGCTTGGGCGCTGGGCTCATCGCTTACGTTGAGTTTCTTCAGAGCGTCGAAGATAAGATTATGCTGCCTACTAAGCTTTTTGAGTTCAAGTTGTAGCTTTGGACTTCGTCCGCATAGCCCTCGGTGATCCGGTGCCCAAATACCGCGGGCAAAAGTCTCCTCGAAATGGATTCTTGTGTTGAACAGAAGTAACTGGAAATTCCTAAACTCGTAGGGTTGCTTGAGCCTGTCGAAATCAAATGGCAGGTCGATGAACAACACTTCCCTTCGATCTGGAGGGGTAGGGTCGCCATCAAAAGGTCTAACCCTCCTACAGAG